AACTGGGATTGTCATGTAAAACAATCTTGTTTCTAATTCAAATTTTAAAAATCTGAAAAAAAAGAAAAAGAAAAAGAGATAATATGCTATAGAAATGAATACTTTACATCGGCCTAGATTTTGGTTTATTGATTGACTAATTAAAGGTCAATTGTGTTATATGTATATCTAATTTAGATATTATGTTTATATAGTTCATTTAAAATGTAATCTATAATTAAATACAGATTGTAGATAGTTACATATAATAGTCAAAACCTATGTTAGTTAGGTTTTCTAGATATACAGAGATATATTTCAAATGGATAGGCATTCTTCAAAATCTTTCAAAGACCTACAGAAAATGGCATTTTAAGTGGCTTATTAGGGTTTTTCATGACATTGAGACACAACTGTTCCTGACAACATGAATTACATCAGAAAGGAAGATGGGCATCAAAGAAATTCTTTATGGAGTTTGCCTACAATGTGGCAAAACTGCCTATTGGGCAAAGAACTGCCCTTGCATCAACTGCTGACAGTAAGCATGCTATCCAAACTGGACAAGGAGGTTACAAAGGAAAGTGACTGCCGAAACTTGCCTAGAGACAGAATGGCCCTGCAGGGTTCCTTCTTTACAGAAGAAAGCAACTGATGAACTTTGCCAATACAAGACAGAACACATTTTCAAATTACCTACTTCATTAAAAAGTCTACAAGACCCTATGGCCTCTGGGTTGAAGATGAATGCCCCAATGTTATAGAGAAACTTTGGGTGACTATCCAGGCAGTGAGATGTCTCTGCTAATTCTAGAGTCTATATTATAAACTTCTCAGGTCTTTGGTGGAGTTCAAGGCAGATAGTTAGGGTTATGATTTTCCTTAGTTATGATAAAAGATAAGTTACACATAAAACTTTAGACTCACAAAGATAGGATAGATGATTGAATATTTTCTTTAAATTTTGCCAAATGTTCATGAACTACAAATAGTTAACAATAGTACTTGCTTGATAACAGCTTTGTTATATATAATTTTACTATGTTAAAGTTAAATCCTTCCTTTTTATTTAGACAGAAAAGAGGAGATGATGAGGGATGTCCTTCTGAATGCTGGGAATATATGTTTCTCTTATTGGTTGATGAATGAAGCTGTTTCAGCCAATGGACAGGCAGGATTTTGTCAGACAGAAAATCCAGAGATAAAGGTAGTATATGGAGTCAGAGAGATGCCATGTACCTGCCAAGGAAGCAAGAACCCTGGACATCACTGGTAAGACAAAACCACATGAAGATACACAGATTAGTGGAAATGGGTAAATAATTAAAAGAGAACTAGCCAATAAGAAGCTTGTAAAATAGACCAAACAGTTTATAATTAAGATAAGCCTGTATGTTTTTATTTGGGACTAAATGGCTGCAGGACCAGGTGAGACAGAAAGTTCCATCTATAGTCTTCAATTTAATTCCGTTGGTCCATGTGTCTGTTTTATGCCAATACCACGATGTTTTTATGACAATAGCTCTATAGTAAAGCTTGAATTCAGGGATGCTGATGTCTGCAGAAGTTCCTTCTGTACAATAAATTTTTAGCTATCCTGGGTTTTTTTTTTTCTCATATGAAGTTGAGTATTGTTCTCTTGAGGTCTGTGAAGAATTGTGTTGGGATTTTGATGGAGATTACATTGAATCTGTAGATTGGTAAGATTGTCATTTTTATTATGTTAACCTATGCATCCAAGATCATGGGAGATCTTTCCATTTTCTGATCACTTCCCCAATTTCTTTTCATCAAAGACTTAAAGTTCTTGTCATATAAATCTTTCACTTGTTTTGTTAGAGTTATTTCAAGATATTTTAAATTATTTATGACTATTGTAAAATGTGATATTTCTCTGATTCCTTTCTCAGTCCATTTATGATTTGTATATAGAAGGGCTATTCAAGAAACTAGACATGTGAAAGACACATAAGAAAGTGTTCACCATCCTTAGCCATCAGGGAAATGCAAATCAAAACAATTCTGAGATACGATCTTACTCCTGTCAGAATGGCTAAAATTACAATTCTCAACTTTATATGGAGAAACAAAAGACCCAGAATAGCCAAAACTTCCCTGTACAATAAAGGAACTTCTGGAGGCATCACCATCCCTGACTTCAAGCTCTATTATACAGCTATAGTCCTGAAAACAGCTTAGTATTGACACAAAAATAGGTAGACCAATGGAATAGAGTTGAAAACCCTGAAATTACCCCACACACCTATGAACACCTGATTTTTGACAAACAATCCAAATTTATATGATGGAACAAAGAGCATATCTTCAACAAATAGTGCTGGCATAACTGGTTGCAGACATGTAGAAGACTGCAGTTAGACCTTGCACAAAACTTAAGTCAAAATGGATCAAAGATTTCAAGATAAATCCAGCTATACTGGACCTATTAGAAGACAAAGTGGGAAATACCCTTGAATTAATTGGTACAAGGGACTGCTTCCTGAACATTACACCAGTAGCACAGACACTGAGGTCAACAATTGATAAATTGGACCTCCTGAAACTGTAAGGCAAAGGAGACAGTCAAGAAGACAAAATGACAGCCTACAGCATGAGAAAAGATCTTCACCAACCTCACATCTGACAGAGGGCTGATCTCCAAAATATATAAAGAACTCAAGAAAGTAAACATCAAAATACCAAATAATCCAATTTCAAAATGGGATATACACACATAAAGCAAAAGACACCCAGCCTACAATCCACAATCCCAGAGAAGCTAGAACCCTCTTCCTGAAACTGATGGAAGCAGATGCAGAAATCCACCAATGGGCCAGGCTCCTGGAGTACAGTTGAAGTAAGAGAGGAGTGATAATATGAACAAAGGAGTCAAGACCGTGAAACCCACAGAGGCAGCTGCAACTTGTACAGCCGCTTTGGAAATCAGTATGGCAACTCCTCAAGAAAGTGGGAATCAGTGCCGGGCGTTGGTGGCATACGCCTTTAATCCCAGCACTCGGGAGGCAAAGGCAGGCAGATCTCTGTGAGTTCAAAACCAGCCTGGTCTTCAAGAGCTAGTTCCAGGACAGCCTCCAAAATCCACAGAGAAACCCTGTCTCGAAAAACCAAAAAAAAAGAAAGAAAAGAAAAAAAGAAAGAAAGTGGGAATCAGTCTACCACAAGATCTAGCAATTCCACTCCTTGGCATATACCCAAAAGAAGCACATTCATACAACAAAGACATCTGTTCAACGATGTTCATAGCAGCACTATTTATAATAGCCAGAAACTGGAAGCAGCCTAGATGCCCCTCAACCGAAGAATGGATAGAGAAAATGTGGTACATTTGCACAATGGAGTACTACTCACCGAAAAAAAAAACAATGGAATCTTGAAATTTGCAGGAAAATGAATGGAACTCGAAGAAACCATTCTGATCGAGGTAACCCAATCACAAAAAGACAAACATGGTATGTACTCACTCATATGTGGATTTTAGACATACAGTAAGGCATTACCAGCCTACAATCCACACTGCCAGAGAAACTAGTAAACAAGGAAGACCCTAAAAGAGACCAACTTTGTCCCCTGGAGAAGGGGAAAGTGTCACCATCCCCTGAGCAAATTGAGAACATGGAAAGAGGGGGGAGGGAGCTACAAGAATGAGAAGGGAAGAAAAAGAAGGATGCAGAGGTCCTGAGGAAGCAGAAATTTTGAGTCAGGTGTAGATTAAAAGAAAGGATATATGATAGGTAGGATTTTAGTTGGGGGAGTAGAAGGAGAGGAAGGGAGGGAGAAGGGAACTGGGAATGTCATGTAATTCAATCTTGTTTGTAATTCAAATTAAAAAAAAGAAACTAGACATCAAAATACTAAATATTCCAATTTGTAAAATGAGGTATGGATCTAAACAGAGAACTCTCAACACAAGAATCTCAAATGGCCAAAAAACATTTAAAGAATTTCTCAACATCATTAGCCATCAGGGAAATGCAAATCAAAACAACTCTGAGATACCATTTTATACTTGTCAAAATGGCTAAGATTAAAAACATTGATGACAACCTATGTTGGAGAGGATGTGGAATAAGAGGAACACTCCTCCACTGCTGATGTGAGTGTAAACTTTTATAGCCACTTTGGAAATCAGTATGGCATTTTCTCAGAAAATTGAGACTAGATCTACCTCAAGACCCAGCATACTACTCTTGGGTGTATACCCAAAGTTTGATCAACCATACCACAAAGATGCTTGCTCAACTATATTCATAAAAGTGCTATTTGTAATAGCCAGAACCTGGAAACAACCTAGATGCCCCTCAACAGAAGAATGGATAAAGAAAGTGTGGTACATTTATACAATGTAGTATTACTCAGCTGTAAAAAACAATCACATCATAAAATTTGCAGCAAATGAATAGAACTAGAAAAAAATTATCCTGAGTGAAGTAACCCAAACCCAGGAAGGCAAACACAGTATGTACTCACTCATAAGCGGATATTACATGTAAAGAAAAGGATAACCAGACCACATCCACAGCTCCAGAGAAGCTAGGTAACAAAGAAGGCTGTAAGGTAGACACATGGATCATCCTGGGAAGGGGAAATAGATGAGACTCCAGGATAAACTGGGGGCAGGGAGGGTAAAGAGGAGGGGATGGGAGATAAGAACATAAGAGAATGGGATGGTTGAGCTGGGGGAGGGATGGAATGGGAGATCAATGAAAGCGATAGAGGGGGTCATTATGGGGTTAGGGAGAAACCTGATGCTAGGACAATTCCAAGGAATCTACAAGAATGACCCCAGCTAAGACTCCTAGCAACAGTGGAGTGGTTGGGAATGTTCTTCTGTATATATGTTTCTCTTATTGGTCAATGAATAAAACACTGATTGGCTGTTTGGCCAGACAGGAAGTGAGGTAGCTGGGCAGAATCAGGATATAAGCAGGGACAAGCAGGAAATCACTCTTTTCTGAGGAGACACTGAGCAGTCATCATGTAGCAGGCAAAGGAGTTATAGGTCCAGCATTCCTCTCTAAGCCAAGACCATATGGAAATACATAGATTAATAAAAATGGGTTAACAATTAAGACAGCTAGTTAATAAGAAGCTCAAGCCATCAGCCAACAGTTTCATAATTAATATAGTATCTGTGTGTTTATTTGGGTCTCAAGGGCCATGGGATCTGCCAGGCAAGAAACCTTCATGCTACAGTGGAGAGGGTGCCTGAAGTGGCCTTCTCCTGTAATCAGACTGAGGACTACTCTGTCATCAGAGAACCTTCATCCATTAACTAATGGAAGCAGATGCAGGGGATCCACAGCCAAGCATCAGACTGAGCTCCAGGAGTCCAATTGAAGAGAGAAATGGGGGATTATATGAGCAAAGGGGTGAGGGTTCAGATCATGATTGGGAAACCCACAGAGACAGCTGACCCAAGGTCATGGGAGCTCATGGACTGACAGCTTGGGAGCCTGAATGGGACTCAACTAGACCCACTGCATGTGGGTAACAGTTTTCTAGCCTGATCTGTTTGTGGGACCTCTAGAAGTAGGACCAAGATCTATCCGTGTGCATGAGCTGACTTTTTGAAGACCATTCCCTATGGTGGGATGCATCATTTCTCAACTTCTATGAAGGGGAAAAGGCTTGGTCCTACCTCAACTGAATGTGCCAGTCTTTGTTGACTCCTGATGGGAAGCCTTACCTTTCTGAGGAGTGATGAGGGGTAGGCTGGGGGAAGATGGGGGTGGAGTAGAAAGAGGGGAGGGAGGGGGAACTGTGCTTGGTAGGTAAAATGAATTTTTTAAAAAGATGGAAAAAAAATGACCTTAAAAAGACAGCTAGAAATTCCAGCACTGAAAATTAAAATGATAATATTATTAACAGTATATTCCATAATTTACAATTGCATCATTAATAATTTTGTTAATCATTATTGCTGTTATACTTCCTACAAAGAAATATAGAGCTTGGGGAAAGGTCAACAAAATAAGATGGTATAACATTTAAAAGGCATGTGGTCAGGAAATGCTCCCCAGTGTCATTGGTGACTTCATCAGTGTCTTTCTGAATTTGGAGTAGGAGCCAACCAGAAACTTAACACAAGGGCAAGAGGTGGGAGCTACAGTTAAGAGCTACCAAATGTGACTGGGTAGGAAGAGTTTTTGGAAGGAAAACACTTAATAAAAATGAATTCCTGACTGGGTTAGGAACCATGCAAAGTTTGCAACATTTAAAACAAGTGGGAAGAAACCATTGATAAAGCAGGAAAAGCTGTGTCCTGTGCTTTTGTTTCCTTGCACATTTGTCACAACGTGATACAGTGTCATCTCCCATAAGTAGAAAACTACAGGTGTGACACGGGACTTCAGTTGTAGACTCTAAATATCTTTATCTGAGCCAAAGCTCTGCTGGCAGAGGAAAGGTTATTACAAAAATATCTACCCTCTTATAAATATTACAGGTCTAACACCTTTTGTGGTAATGTTTTCCTTCACATTTAATATTTTGACATATTTTTAAAAATAAAATGAAGCCATAGGTGTGGCTCAGTAAAGTATGATTGCCTAGCAGACACAAGGTCCTGGTTTCATCCTTAGAATCTCAAAACAGTCTCTATGACATGTTTCATAAAATCTTTACATAGGACATCCATCAAATTATCTATATCAAATAGTGTCCGTGCAAACTCAGATTGTAAAAAGGCCAGATGACAAGCAACAGACCTAATAACATCTGCCAACTTATGTCCTAAAACAATTCACACTCTTAAATTTAGCTCAGTTCAAAGCAAAATTAGAACAAAGAGAAACAATTGGAAACACATGCAGCTTCCTGATGGCCCTCACCATTGCATAAACAGAGGGTGCTTGAAACCTGCCCTTCAGTTCATAATAATGATAGCCTGCCACAGGCTTCTAAAGCAACTGGGAAAGAACGGGGGAGTGAACTTGTGGTCTGAGGAGGAGACACTGTATATTTGGAAAATTCCATTTAAAAAACCCAGTTGTAACAAATCCCCTTCCCAGATCCCTATTCTAGAAAACTGAAAAGCAGTAATTACAATGGGTGGGTTGAAAAGCCAACTAAACACAAATTGACAGATAAGCCTTCCAGAAGAGGCATCCCCTGTACTGCATTATTCTAACAATAATGTCTTTATTTACATAGCAGAGTGGTTATATTGTGTTTAGCAATGCTTTCTGTAAGTAGAAACATGCTGCTAAAAGAATAACCAACCATCACAAAGAACTTCTAATTTAAAGATACAAAACCAGTGACAATTATTTCTGTAATCTCCACAGAAAACAGTGCAATGGCTTTCTCTAGGAGCCTTCCAAACCAGAACTATAGCAACTTAACACGTGTCACCCATGTGGGCTGGATGCTTCTCGGAATAAGGCCAGGGACTTAGGAATCCAAGCTCTCACATTAGAAATAAGGAAAAACTGGACATGGAATAGCCTTAAATCAAAGTAAAATTTAAAAAATTATAAAAATCCATCTCAGAAATAATCTTATAAATGTCTGTGTCTTTTTCTAATGTTGCCATTTTTGGAAATTTTCTGCTCTGTTTTGTAGTCCTGAAATGGATGATCAAAGAGACCCACTGGCTAAGAATGACCAGTTCAAGGGTGTTTGAATTGCATTTGGGGCTTTTTATCACTCTAAACCAAGGAGAATTCCTTAAACAATGTATCTGTCATGGGTAGCTGACATTGGCTATGAGAAAGCCCATCATCTAGTGGTCTGCCACCAATTCCAAACACTGAAGCAACTGAATAGTGCTTCCTGAAACTACACCGGTGAGGTAGATCCTTTGCACTCAAGTGTTACCTCTCAGTGGGCATGTCAGAAGCCAGCCTTGGTTAGATCCAAAGTCCTTATTTACACAAGCCTGGCAACCCCCCATGCTCAGCTAGCCACCAGTTAGTCTAGCATCCCACCCCTTAGGTTCCAGGACCTGGCCTGAGAAGCAATTAACACCTATTCCTTCCCCCACTTCCTTAGGTTAGTGCTTGAGGTAAACACAGGAGATTCCGATACCTGTCCTGGCCTGAGAGCAATTAACATCATTCCTCCCCCCAACTCCTTTTTCTCTGCTTCCCCCTTTTTCTTTAAAGAGCCCCTTGTTTTCAATAAAGTCAGACCTTGACAAGGCAAAAATCGCTTGGTCTCCTCCTTCTTTTCTTGCCCATTATTTTCAGGCTTGATCCACCTCGGACTCACGATTTACCGGAGCCCCATGGGCTGGGGCACTGAAACTGCACGGGTGAGGTGGATCCTTTGCACTCAACTGTTACCTCTCAGTGGGCCTCGGACTTCCCATATGTCAAAGTAATGAGAACAGGACATAGAAGTTACACAGACTTAGGGACAGGGAAACTGAAAGAGAATCCTCATCCTTCACTCAAAGCAGGAAATATTCTTCCTTCTATCCGGCCAAAGGGCAAAAAGTAATTATAGTAGGAGAAACTCTGATTTCTTTTTTTTAACTATTATTAATTAAATTTATTCATTCATTTTACATCCCAACCACAGTTTCCCCTCCTTCCTCTCCTCCCATCCCCTCACCCTACCTCTCCCCTGCCTTAATTCGCTTCTTCTCTGTTTCTGTTCAGAAAAGGGCAGGCCTCCCATAGGTATCAAAGCATGGTATATCAAGTTGAGGTAGGACTAAGATCCTCCCCTTGTATTAAGGCTGGGGAAGACAACACAGTGTGAGGAATAGGTTCCTGGAAGCCAGCCAAAGCATTAGGGACAGGCCATGCTTCCAACACTAAGTCTCCTGCAAGTAGACCAAGCTACACATCTGCCACATGTATGTAGAGGACCTAGGTCCATCTCATGCATGCTCCCTAGCTGTTGGTCGATAATGTATGAGCTCCCATTAGCCCAGGTTAGTTGTTTCTGAGGGGTTCCCCTGTGATGACTTTGACTCCCCACCTCCAGCTCAATCAATCCTTCCTACCTCCCTTCAACAGAATTCCAGGAGCTCAGCCCAGGGTTTGCCTGTGGATCTCTGCATCTGTTTGCATCAGTCACTGTATGAAGGCTCTATGATGACAACTGGAGTAGTTACCAATCTGATTACAGGAGATGGCCAGTTCACTATTGCTAGAAGTCTTAGCTGAAGTCATCCTTGTAGATTTGTGGTAGTTTGCCTTGCATCATATTTCTACCTGACCCCAAAATGTCCCCAATTAAAACATCTCTTTCATTACTCCCCCCTCCATCCATCCCCTAACCCAATCCCTCATGTTCTCATCCCCACTGGACACCAGTCCAACCAGGAGATCTCTTCTATTTCTCCTTCCCAGAAAATTCATGCATTCCTCTTTGCCCCGCCCCACTCCCTGCCTTGTTACCTAGACTCACTGGGGCTGTGGATTGTAGCATGGCTATGCTTTACTTTACAGCTAATATCCACTTATGAGTGAGTACATAAAATGTTTGCCTTTCTTGGTCTTTATTACCTCACCCGGGATGATTTTGTTTTTTTACTTCTATCCATTTGTCTGCAAAAATCCCTGGTACATTTACACAGTGGAGTACTAATCATGGGAAAAAAAAACAATGGAATCTTAAAATTTGCAGGCAAATGGATGGTACAAGAAGAAACCATCCTGAGTGAGGTAACCCAGTCACAAAAAGACAAACATGGTATATACTCACTCATATATATAGATTTTAGACATGGAGCAGGGGATGGCCAAACTACAATCCACACCACCAGAGAGGCTGGGAAACAGGGAGTACCCTAAGAGAGACATGCATGGTACCCCAGAGAAGAGGAAGGGGACAGGATCTCCTAAGCAGATTGGGAGCATGGGGGAGGGGAGAGGGAACTGGGAGAAAGAGAGGAGGAGAAGAGGAAGGGAGAAGAGGAAATGGGGAAGCAAGAAGATTGAGTTGGGGGAAGAATAGAGAGAGTCATTATAGAGAAGAGATCTGACACTAAGAAGAATTTCAGAGATCTACAAGAATGACACCAACTGGCAATCTAAGCAATAGTGGAGAGGCTACCTTAAATGCCCTCTCCCAATAATGAGATTGATGACTACTTTATATGCCATCCTAGAGCCTTCATCTAGTGACTGATGAAGCAGAGGCAGACACCCACAGCTAAACACTGAACTGAACTCCTGGAATCCAGTTGCATAGAGGGAGGAGTGATGAGCAAAGGGGTCAAGACCAGGCTGGTAAAATCCTCAGAAACAGATGACCTGAACAAGGGGGAACTCATGGACCCCAGACTGATAGCTGGGAGGCCAACATGGGACTGATCTAGATCCCCTGAATGTGGGTGTCAGTGAGGAAGCCTCAACAATCTATGGGACCTCTGGAAGTAGATCAGTACTCATCCCTGGCATAGGAATAGTGCTCTGGGAGCCCATTCCACATGGAAGAATGCTCTCTCATCCTGGACACCTGGGGGAAGTCCTAGGCCCTTCCCTGGATGATATGACAGACTTTGGGGATCCTCCATGGAGAGCCTCACCCTCCCTGGGGAGGTGGGGATGGTGTGAGGGTTGGTGGGGGTGGGAGAGAAGGAGAGGGAGAGGGAGCTGGGGTTGACATGTGAAGCAGGCTTCTTTCTAATTTAAATAAAAAATGATATAAATAAAATAAAATAAAAAGTTATTGTCTTTACAGCTGAGTAATACTCCATTGTAATACATTTTCTTTAAACATTCCTTGGTTAAGGAGCATCTATGTTGTTTCCAGGTTCTGGCTATTACAAATAACACTACTATGTGCATAGTTGAGCGAGTGCCTTGTGGTATGATTAAGCATTCTTTAGGTATATGCCCAAGACTGGTGTAGCTGGGTCATGAGGTAGAGCTGCCCTGGCCCGTGGGGCTCCAGTAATTCGTGAGTCCGAGGTGGATCACGCCTGCAAATAATGGGCGAGAAAGAGCGAGCGGGACCAAGCAGATTCCATTGTCAAGGCCCGTTTATTGATTATTACATGGGGTTTTTAATAGAGAAAGGAGGAAGCACAGAAAAAGGAGGTGGGGGGAGGGATGAGTTAATTGTTCTCAGGCAGGTATCCGGAATCTCCTGTGTTTATCTCAAGCACTAACCAAGGAAATGGGGGGAGGGATCGGTGTTAGTTGCTTCTCAGGCAGGTATCCGGAATCTCCTGTGATAAGGGAGTGGGATACCAGACTATCTGGCGTCTATCTAGGCATGGGGGGTCGCCAAGGCTGGCTTCTGACATCTCCCCCTACTAAGTATAATAAAATGGAGCATCTGGCTTAGGCTACGTGATGGGCACCCGCATCCAGGACCCTATGTTTTATGATATTGTCATTTATATGACAGTGAGGGGTAGTGCCTCTGTCTTAGGTTATGTGAGATGCATCTGTCCCCAGCACTCCGATGACCCTTCATAAGGCTAGCAGCTCAGGAGTGCTTTGGAGTGGGCATCTGGGGGTCAGTCTCACACTAAACCCGTCATGGAGGACGCTACAGCCATTGGGAAGGGTCGGCATCTGGCTTGCAGCATCACGATATTTCCCGTCACGGATGGCTCCAAGGCCAAGGAAATCGGGAGGTTCGATGTTCAAGGCCTGAAAAATCCGGGTGGGATGGTGGGTGGGGGGGGGGGGGTAATTGTCATCAGGCAGCTCAGAATCTAATGCCTCCAGGCAATGGTAGTGGACCTGAGACTTAATGAATCTGCTTAGTTTTTGAAAAGGTAGAGGTGACAGTTTAAGTAGTCAATCCAGTAGAACAGGCAAGGTAGGAATTAAATGCCTGCAATTCCCTTAGAAAAGGGAGGGGTGGAAGAATAGCAGACCCAACAGTCCTCTATAAGGGAATGGCTGGCTTGATGAAGGGCCTGAACAGTAGGGTTAATTAAGGATAGAATAAGGTCAGTGGAAAAGGGAGCTCCTGGGGGGAAAAATGGTCAGGGGTTCCCTAGTCTGGAGAGGCCCCTAAGGCTAAAGCATATATATAATCAACTATCAGGAGGGGAAAGGAGGGGGTGGTCGCAATAGTTGTGAAGGAAGGCGTTGGCAGCATCAGTTGGCAGCATCATTGGATCAGTTGACTATCATCCAGGTGTAGCTGTAGATCTGATAAGGGCTCCCAGCAGCAATGGCAATTGAAGGTGATAAACTTGTAAGTAGCCAGAAAGACAGCATCTTTTAATCTAAAATTAAGCAGAATTAGAAGGCTCTTCAGGGACTTTCCCCTGGGTGGATAAGAAGGCATTTAGGCACCCATCTAGCATTATTGGCCTGAGTATCAAAAATATATGCATGTCCTTTTCCCCAAATGAGGACCGGATCTGGTCCGTGCCATTTGTGAGTTAGGGGATCTTTCCATAAGGCTCGAGCATAAGTTTGAGCTGTTCATGGATGCCAGAGGCGATCAGTGGCTGATTTTTTTGTAGCATCATATGTGAGAAAATTTAGCACAAACAATGTATGGTATAGAACTCCTCCTCCTAAGGCAACCTGGTGGCTGTCCGCTCTCTGAAGGTCATCATATTGATGCCGAATTTAGTGTAGATATCCTATCAGCATAGCGCATTATAGCCCAAAATTCCTGGACTCAAGTGATCCCCTGTCTCAGCCTCCTGAGTGCTGGGATTAAAGGCGTGTGCCACCGTTGCCTGGCCTGTGCGTCCCGCTGGCTCAGGAGCCACCGCTGCCCGAGCTGCGGGCTTGCCTCGTGTCTCATCGCCGCTATAAAAGCTCGGAGGCAGGCGCTTTATTCCTCCAAGTCAGCAGCATGCTGCGTCCCCAAAGGCCCAAAAGCCCAAAGGCCCAGCCATCCCCGCCGCTACGGGCTCGGCAGGCAGGTCCACGCGCGCTGGGCGGGACTAGGCCACATGAACTGTTCCCGTAGCACCGGTCTCGGGAATTAAGCACAAAATTGCTAGAAAGCTTTGCTAGTATATCCAGACCCATTATCTGCTTTTATAACTTTTGGCACTCCCATGTAAGCCAAACATCTTAAACAGTGACTTATAACATGCCTGGAAGCTTCTCCTGTTTGTAGAGTGGCACATTTTTAACTTGCCAAACTCTGTAATGTGAGTCACATCCATTCGCCATAAATGGTTGGGGAGCAGGCCTTGAGGATTCATCCTTAAATTAACCATAGCCATATTTCGGACCTATTCTACATTTTGAATTTGCTTAAATAACATTTTGACTTGGCTATTACCAGATCCTGTGCATGGGACTGTTTCTGTTACCTTATAAGCCTTAAATACATAGTGACTGTCAGTATACATTGAATGAATTATTAATTAAATTAATTAAATGAATTATTTACCAGGATTTAAAAGACTATTGTAACAGCTTGTAGTTTGATTATTTGAGCTGAAGCCAGAGCTGTCTGTTCTATATATTTCTTTCTATTAAAAACCTATGTAAGTAACTCTCCCAATAGAACTATGGGTAAAAATTAACATAGCATATTTTTATAGGACTGCTTTTTACAATTTTGGAAATACAAAAGGATGCATAGTGCAAATTGTAACAGTCCATGAGCTAGAATTGATTATCAATTCTTCCTGAAAATTGAGCAAAGGCAATCGCCTATGACTCATTGTTCTGAAACCATCAATTAAACTGTTGCTTAGAGTAGGAGACATGTATCATACTTGGTTTTCTCCTAAAATATTTTCTAAAATCTATATGGCATTTCTGTATCATGTAGACTAATGCTTTAAAATAAGGGTTTAAAATATTTAGGCTGGTGAACCATAGTAATGGTTTTGCATAGTCAATATATCTGATTATGCTGAATCACTTCCTCCAATAATAGAACTTGTCTACCTTTCTAGTTAGCTGTTTGGGTATATCTGGATCACTATCTCCTTATAGAATCTTACTTAAAGGATTTAAATCATCATTAGATGTCCCAAAAAAGGTACTTAACCAATGAATAGTTTATAACAATTTCTAAAAAACTCATTTAAAGATTTT